CAAACGGCCTTGTAGAATAAGTTCCCTGTGTAGCAGTGACGAATAACCCGTATGAAATGAAAGACATATAGGCTGCATGAGCCTGTATTTCAACGTCTGGTGAAATGGCATGTGGCAGGAGCAGGCAGGTACCTATCATGCACCATCATGGAACATAGGGCTTTAAAATTGATGCAAGCCGTCGAACATTGCCCGAATGTTGAAATCGTTCATCGTTCATCGACAACAACAACAAATCTTCAACGGAGAGACCTTTTTAGGTTCATTTAATGCTAAATCCACTTTCCTACTGCTTCGAAATAGATGATGTTTCATACGTTACCAGAGCCAAAATTTCTTTTCCTTGCCAAGGTATAAACTTATGAAACGTATGACATACAAATTTGATTTGACTTATTGGTTTCTGCATTTTTCTTCTTTTTTCATCATACATGTTCATAAACATAGTATGGGCAATGTCCACCTTACCATCATTCCCACAATACTCATAACATTTAGTCAAATTGTTCATGATATATACTAAGAATGACGGTTTCTGCAATATATACATGGATCTTATGTAACTCTATTACGATGAGTTGATAGTGGCTATTGCTTGGATCAACACAAATAAGAGGTAACGATCGAGTCAAAAACAATATTTCGTTTCGTTTATTTCCTTTTCCAACAAAATAAAATAAAGTACATGGGATTGCATTGTACATAGTAAAATAATGAAACTTAACAATATATTTGTAATTGGTCCACAGTGTACAACAGGCATTTAAGACAGGTTGGTCATGGAGGGGACTGCTGAAAAACTGGGCTTGTAGATTGCAGCCCCCTATAAATTATAATTGCAAAAATGATATATCAATAATAAGGGAACGCACAAGTACATTACCAAATAGACATAACATAGAAGGAGTACAAGGGACAGGGAAAGAAGAGAAACGAGGAACGAGAGAGGGTAGGACTCTTGCCTATAACACACACAACAAAACACGGTCCGACCGGAATACGGATGGCAGTACAAAATAAATGAAAATATAACAAAGTATTTTTATTGAGTGAAATATTTAATGAGGGAGAGCTGAGGCTTGATAATCACGCATAGTTTTATTTTAATTTCAACTTAAAAGAGTTTAAACTGGGGGCATTCTTCATGCTAACATCAAGAATGGCCGAAAGCTTCGGGCCTGCGTAAATAAACATGGATTTTAGCAAGTATAGTTCGTCAGATTGGCGCGTGGGGTATTTGTATATCTTCAACCTATTTTTTTTTAACAAAACATCAGTTTGAAAGTGTTACAGAAAACACGCATAGCTTTTTTTTGTAGAAGTATTATTCTATGAAGATAAGAAATGTGTGTATTACCCCATACAATAATGCCATAATTTAAGTAGGGCAAAATTAATGTCGAGTAAATCATTAGCAGGGAGGAGGTTGGCAAAAAAAAACGTAACCTTATTTACAATCCCTATATTGCGAGAAATTGTGCGGCAAATGCCGTAAATATGAACTTTCTATGAGAGTTTATCGTCGATTATCATAATCTTATATACAATATACTCACTATTTGCCTAGATCCTGGTAAATGCGAAATGAATCGTGGAATGAAGCTTTGAGTCCTCTCCTCAGAAATATATAATTATAGCCGAGCTGAAAGGATTCACAATAATCTTACACAGTTCAAATAAACGTAACTGGCAACACGTAACATGAGAGGTCTCTTCTAGAACGTGTTATGAAGGCGTTAACAATGTCTCTTTCACAAGATAAGAGGAGAGTTTGTCTCTGGTTCATGAATCCGTGTGTAACAGATGCCAAAACATGCAGTGTGTCGAGGAAAATGATCTAGAAATCAATTTAATGCCGATTCCCTTTGACTAAAAATGTGCTTCGTTCCAACATATTTCCATGAAGAAGTGACGAATAATCCGTATGAAAATGAAAGACATGGGCTGCGTGAGTATGTATTTCACCCCCTGATGACGTGACATTGAGTAGGTACATGATGCAAGTCAGGTTGATCATGTGGTTCAAAAATGAAGCCAGGAGAAAATACATCTAACTAGAGCTAATCGACCAAACAAAAAAGATACATATCTCTTGCTCAGTGAGTCGGTCCTGTGGGCATTGTGACGCAAGTAATATCACGTAACAACGTGGTCTGGGCATTCTGCTCAACAAGAGGAATTTGGCCCAGCTTCGGCGAAGTAACAAGCAATGTACATGTAAAGATGTATATGGGACTACAGAAACATGTGGACTAAAAATCGGGCGTCATTTTTAAGCTGATACTTGTCATATTTAGAATAGAAGCGCCATGCTTTTCAGAGAACATTTTTCCTCTGATTTTGTCCGCACTTGCATTATAAAAATAATAAAGCTTTCTTTAAACTCGACGATAATTGCCCGACAATGTTTGTGAAAACATTCATGAAATTCAAATGAAGCAATAAAATATTATGTCATTATTATATCATGTATAAAAGAGGCTCTCTATGTAAAGTTGAAGGCAAAATTATCCCCGACATTTGTTTTAGTTCTTCTTCTTTCCTATACGGGTTTACTCATGGTCCCTGGATTTGGAGAGAGAAAGAGAGGGAGACAAAAGAGTGACTTTGCCTGGAAACCACACAAATCTATGTTTGATCCCCATTAGTCATATATTCGGACCGGCATACTCTTATTATCATGTCACAGTATTGTAGGTGAATAAGATATTTCATTCGCCGACTGGGCTTGTATCAAAGGTGCCAGTAGAAAGAAAAAGCACATTTGAAAGGAACGTTCTAAAGAGAAACGTACCTTGATTTATATCATTTGTAATGAATTTTACGCTGGTTGGGGGTACATTAAACCAAAAAGTTTGATTCAAGTCAGTCGGATCATGTGGTTCAAAAACGAAACCAGAAAAAAAAACATATAACTAGAGCTTTTCGACCAAACAAAAAAGATGCATATCTCTTGCTCAGCGAGTCGGTCCTGATAGGCATTGTGACGCAAGTAATATAATGTGAAAACAATACGACTGAGCTTGTATCAAAGGTGACAAAAGAAAGAAAAAACATTTGAAAGGAACGTTCTGAAAAGAAACGTACCTTGATTTAAATCATTTGTAATGAAGTTCACGCTGGTAGGTGGTACCTTAAAAAAAGGTTATGAACACTGGTTGTAACCCGAGGAGCGTGGGTGGTTAGAAGCTCAAAAACATGTTTACCAAATTGATTCTTTAGAGCAAAATTACAATGGAAAACTATATTTGAAATGTAAGCATGTCCAAATGTAGGTATTTTGTTCTGCTTTGATACAAACATCCATTGCTAAAATGAGATACGAGAAAACACAGACAGACATATATTAGCTGAAGTGTAAACAAATAGAAACCAGATTTTGGTTTCGGTTTATGACACTTTACCTGATATTCAAGTCCACCATTCTTAAAAGGTAAAGACCAGTTTTGGAAACGCTCCCCTCTCAAAAAAATGAAATGGAAGTTTTTATCAACAATCATGTGAAAGAGTATGTTTTGAATTATACGTAATGATACAAATTTGGCCGAGAAACTGCCTACTAATTGAAATATTTGGTAAAATATTATATCTATTTGGACCTGATAGGTATAACGCACGTGTCGCGCACGTGTCGCGTAGTCCCATATACATTTTTTTGTGTACAGTGCTTGTAACTTTACCAAGACTGGGCCAAATTTCTTATCATTTTGATGATTCCAGAACCTTGTAGTACACACCATTACTTATATGCTAGATGATCAACCTTTTCTGATCGATTCCACAGCGTTTCTTTCACAATGCAATCGCAACAGAACAAGACAAAGTATATATATTTATATATTTGCATACATATGAGGTATTTGGTGAAAAACACAAAGGTCCGTATTTCAATACTTCACTTGTTGACACTTCTAATCATCACATTAAATTCCTCCGTTCCCGATACAAAAGTATTACAGATATGTGTACTTATTGATCAATTTGTATGGAATTTATTCAGGCTCTACGAACTCTAAAATAAGATACCAACGACATTCAAGCTTTGTATAATATAGGCCGATGTTGTACTGCTAAGCCGATGATGTAACAAATCCGGTATAGGTTGGTGTAGAAAAACTAGAAAAATTTGTTTATTTGGAAACATCAAATTATAACAAATTCACTAAATATTATAAGTCGATTTGGTTCGAGATCCCCTGCGTTTGGCAACCCAGGCTTACAAATTTCAAGAGAGAAAAAGACGGAAAGGGACGAAAAGAGTTCTAAAAAATGACGCCCTAGCCAATATTATCAAACAAGAATTCTAAACTGAAATGTTGCTATATGCTTAATTGTTTTAGATCTAATCAAATTTTTGGGTGAGTATTAAACTGAATATAATCATCGAGTAAGCCATCACACCAAGAGAGGGAGGGAGATGGAGAGAGGGTGAGATAGGGTGAGAGGGAGAGAGAGAGAGAGAGAGAGAGCGAGAGAGAGAGAGATAAAGCGAATCTTGAATGGCACATTAAGTTGTTTTCAGTTCATTAGCGCATTTATTGATCGTTATGTTACCTAATTTATGCATATTTGAAATGAATTGAATTGAATTTATTTCTTCTCCAACATACAAATCAAATTGAATTTTAGAAATACAACTTATTCAATATAAAACAAGTTTTTTGAACGTGTATATAAAATGTTGATAATAAATGATGACATTAAAACAAAATGTAAACCGGTAATACAGATTCGAAGCCTCCACCCTTAAACTGAGATTAATGCCTAGGTCACATTTGTTTTACGGCTAGAATACGGCGGCCGTACGCCCCGAAATCGAGAGCCGTATGGCAGCCGCAGATTTTCTGTCTCCACAAATTCAAAATACACCGTGCGGCTACCTGTAACCTGACAATAGAATGATTATTCTCATAATAGTAGCCAGGTATATCCATGTTCAGTGTGTGCGCACACCCACTACTTTTACACAAAGGTAAAGTACATTTAAAGCTGAAACTAGTCTAGGTTGCACGAGGAAAATTGTCGCTCTGTAGCTCGTGATCCGGACCAAGGAGTGTTACTTCGGAGTATTTTGCCAATCGTCTGTACATCTAGAAAAGAAGCCAACAGATTACAATCGTTGAATTTCTTAGAAGAGCAGAGGGTGAAAAGTGACGCTGGAAGCAAAGTAAGTTATATCGTCTACATGACTTTGTATTAAAAAAACAAGATTCCACGTCGGCCTAAATGCATTTCCCCAAAACACTTGTTGTCTTGTTTTGTCCATGCGCTTGGTAGTTTGAAAACAAAGCGAATAATGCAATTTCTCGTAGATTATGGTACACTGTTTTCAATTTGTTATGATCCAAGTCATATTGTAAAATTCTGTATTGTAAGTTTGTTTAAACTGATTATCAACCTGACACTAATTGTTATTTCTGCCATAATATCATCAACATACTCCATATCGTGGAGTTATGAATTTTCATCTTCGTGCTAATCATAATCATCATATATAGAATAAACAGAAACTAGTTAAATACTAGACTACCTAAAGATGAACTTGAGTTCTGGTTTTAAAAAAATGAATTCTCACAGAATCAAACGAAACTTACACTGAATGTTCAAGATTACAAATAAATATCATTTGCCAAACAATTTTGATAAAAATGTATAGTGGCTGAGTAATGAGCATAGAAAGATGAGGAAATTGAGGTATAGGCCCGACAGTGGCGCATCCAGGGGGCCCGCCCCCCCCCCCCCCCCCTGGGGAAAAACCGTGTCAAAACACGTGTTTTTTTTACCTCTTTGGGGGCGATGGCCCCCCCCCCCCTGACGCCCAAGGGGGAGTGCAAATTTTTAAATCATCGAGGGCCCCTCCCCCCAAAAAAGTGGTCACTACCCCCCCCCCCCCCCCTTGCTACGTCCCTCGAAAAGGGGTAATACGGTCAGGTGACTTGATGACCCATGTGACGTCATTGCGGGCATGTCCGATTTGATAATTTCATACGAAATTGCCAAAAACGTACTGGGGTTATCGAGTGCATATTATTTGTCTAATAAATGTCCCTTTTTTCTTCAATTAATATCATAGTTTGCCTTTTTAAAGACATTTTAATGCCTAAATCACCCTCCTTTTCACCAGAGAGGCTCCTGCAGTGACGTCATATGCTATTGCGCAATACAGCTCCGAAACCTGGCTTTTTCTGAGCGTTATGAGTCGTGATTTTTAAAGCTAGATTCTAGAATTAATGATGATTTGTAAGAAAAGTCATTGTCATGTTCGGAATCTCCGTCAAAACTTATTTTACCTGTTTTTTTTTTCCTTTTTAGCCAGTTTTGGTTAGAGTGGCCCTTTAACATTATGTTTAGGTGGTAGGGCTTTTAAAACAGATGTGAAGCAGGGCTTCCACTTAGCCGAGTTGGAGCCTCGAGTTGTGGCGAGCTGGCGCGAGTTTATGGCAAGCCGTTTTATCATTAAAACGTATTTCTTGATATTAAGAAATAATTTTACGTTGTAAAACAATGGTAATTCTTGATATCAAGAATTGATTTCGTGATATCAAGAATTAAATTCTTGATATCAAGGAATATGTTTTAATGATAAAACGGCTTGCCATAAGCTCGCAACAACTCGAGGCTCCAACTCGGCTAAGTGGGAGCCCTGCTAAAGAGTAACCATTAGTTTCTTCTTGTGACCCATCACTTCAGAGAGAAGAGTACTGCACCAGATATGTTGTGCATGCATATGCCATTGCGTGGCAGCATTTTAACAACAATAAAAGAAATTATTGATGAATAGTCTACGGGTACAATTTATTGGGTCGTCATGCGATCTCACTTTACACAAAAGAACAGTGCTTGAGCTTATCAAAATTTCGCAATGCTTTACGCAATAGTCGAGAGAGCTAGAGAGAGAGAGAGAGAGAGATAATCCTCTGTGACGAGGAACAAAAAGAACAAAATAACATATGTTGTTCTGACTACAAATAGATTCATTTATGCAATATGTATCTATGCTATGCATAGACGTTGTTCTATTACTTTTACAATCGCTCAAAGGGTCCACAGTCTTCAATAATTTATCTTCTTTTTTTTTTTCTCTCTCTCTCTCTAAGTGCCATGCTGTTCAACAACTGTATTAGTACTCCTCCCAATTCTTTCACCCCTCTCTCTCTCTCTCTCTCTCTCCTCCCTCTCTCTTCCAACCATTTCTGCAGACTGTCCATCCAAAGTATCCTCCTTCTTCCCCTACTCCTTCTTCCCACAATTTTCCCTGCCACAGCAAGATTCTCTAGGCCTTCTTTACGTGTAATGTGACCCATGAACTTCAACTGCCTTCAACATCTCACGTTTCATTTTCATTTGATCTCCAGCTCGTGTAAAATCTCTCTCATTACTAACGTTGTCAGTCCAGGGGATTTCCATCATTATTCTTTAAAAAAAAAACATTTCGCAACTTTTCAAACGCTTTTTAGTATCAGAGGTTAAAGTCCATGTTTCACTACCATGCATAAGTACTGGGTAGATGTAACAATTCAGTAATCTTATTCTAGTCCTCATACCCATTGTTCAATTTGTCCGAATTTTGTCTAACTAGAATATGCAGATTTAGCGAGAGCTATCCTTCTCTTGATCTCTGTCTCACATCTTGCATCCTCGGTGATCATGCTGCCGAGGTAGTTAAAATGAGGAGACTTGTTTAATAATCTGTTCTTTCAGTTTCAAGTTACATTTTGGACTGCTCTTCTTGGATACCATCAGGCACTTTGTCTTGTTATAGTTGATATCTAGTCCCACGCAGAGGATACGTGGGGGTATTCTTGACAGGCCCCATCCCAACAAAGTCCAATTATCTCATTATATATGCAGTGGTTATTTGAATCAAATTGAAATTAAAATATTTCAAAAGAAAATTTCGATATTTCAAGATTTACACTGTGAAAGCTTAAAGCTAATACAAAGTGTTGATATGGGGTCATGAATTTGGTTCAAATGATTATTGGAAGCATATACGATCCTACAATATTCAGTGATCGTTGTCGCGGTCGAAATCGACTCTAAAGTTATGAAATTGTAAATAATAAACACTTCACGTTGAATAGCTCCCTCTCAAGGTCAAGATATTAATTAAGCTATAAAACAATGTTTATTGACTAAAAGTGACTGATTAGCTATTCTCGTTCGGAAATTATATACCACAACTACATACTCTGAGATTTTCATGGTCGCAGCTACCATTGTACGGCCGCAGGAGCTATTTGAAATTTATCAAAATTTACCGGGAGCACCGGTAAATCTTTATATTCATTTTTTCTCAAAAGCAGGAGTGTTTTAGGGGCTAACATTTCTGGTGTTTTTAATACATCCACATGGGGCATCCAAATATATTAAAATTGTAAAGAATCACTATCCACCCATTTTTTCAAAATTTCCCAAAAACTTTGTAATACCTTTAATGTAATCATTAAAGGCGGGAGGTAACATATGCCATTCTATACATGAAGAAAACAAGGCATAATTCGGCGCAGCGTTACTCATGATTCAGCAACATTTCACACAAAAACGGGACACGACGATCATATACAAATGTTTGAAAACTGATGATGCTTTGGATAATGGCAATAACCGCAAGTGATGAATACACAACACCTTTCTCGAGATTGGACAGAAAACTTCCTGAAAGTCCTACAAACTGGCGATTAGACCACATGGACACCCCCCCCCCCCCCACCAGAAACAACCAAAAGAAAAGAAATAATTAGATCTATTATTAGAAATGCGGGATAATACTTAGACGAACTGATTTTCGACCAAATTGCCAATACGAATGATAACTCAAGCAAAGAGAAATAGGAAGAAGAAGCTCAAACGAGCTTTTTTTTTTTTTTAAAGATATTCATTTAATTTCAGTTATTATATTGTCTTCTCTTTCACAAAATGTGGAAATATGCTTTCCACCAGTATTCAGTGACAATACAAGAACACATGACAGAAAAATAAAGTAACAGTAGAAACACACACATGTTTAAACATTCAAACAACCAATGAAAAAAATTTGTTTACAGAACCAAATGTATGTAACTCTACATTGTCGACATACTCATTATTGTTCATATCAAACTTTTTTCATGAAATATTATTTCGCTACTACTTTATTTTCTCTGCCTTCAATTTGTTGTTCTATTCGCTATCACTATCATCCTGATCATTTAATTTAATTCTATTATGTGCGCAATTTACTTCCTCTACTGCTCTTACATTTGTATTTGTTATCTGGTTGGGGTTCATTTGAGGTTCATATCATTAAAAAAACTGGTGTGTAGACTCTAGGTTAAATCGATAAATATGATTAATATATCAAATTTTGTACAATATTATTGAAAGTGTGTAATGCGTTGGGTACAAATGACTGGTGGAAGTAGAAGCGTAGACATGGTGGTGGAAATCCCCATATTTTCTTCGACGCCAATTAGCATACAATGTCCCCGTTGACCCCAAAACACATGACGAATCTACAACTAATTCTCGTAACAATACATTCCAATAGGGTACGTAAGGAAGTTCGTGTTGGGAGGTGGATTACTGAGAGAGGCTAGGGACAAATGTCTTCATTACTTTGTTGTCGTTTTTCTGAGCCAGAAGCAGAATTCATGTGTGACTTTGGAATATTTTTAACGGCCCGTTTATAAAAGCAGCCAACAGATGACAAACAGTTTGAATTTTTCCGAAGAGTAGAGGGTGAAAAGTGCTCCATTAAGTATTAAGTCAGTCAGTTTAATTCTTATTCGTCGATTTTACAAAATAATAAGCTTCAAGATCGGCCTATGCATTTCAAAACAATTTGTGTAGCTTGTCTTGATTTGTTCATGCGTTTGGTAATTTGAAAAAAAAATCGAATAATGAAATATCTCGTACGTTATTAGAAATGTTACGTTATTGTTATGTTTATTATCCAAGTCTTTCCTGTAAGTTTGTTTCAACTGATTTTCAATCATGCCTTGGACACGTGAACATTTTGAAATGACAAAACTTGAAAATGTTATAGTTATGTTCTACGAGAGTATTGCCCGTTTTAGCCCAGCTCATGCAGCTACATATTGTGTGTAGA